AAGCGTTTTCAGATTTTACAAATACACGACTAAGTGGTATAAAATTTTTAAACCCTTCATAAATTTATGCTTTGACTCTTTTGATCATGGTAGATTCTGTTAATACCTTAGTATTTTGAGTCTATTGCTGTAAATATCTCCTTTCCTCCTTTGGCTCTCCTGTTGGAAAACGATGGCTCTGCATCAACGTTTTTTTAGCCTCAACGTGGCAGCAAAAGTAGTGAAATTCACTAACTGTTCATGCTAATTTTGGAATATTTGATGTTTAATCGGAATGCCATATCATAAAACCATGCAAGTAACGTAATTAGGTAAACCATGTTGATTATTGATGAAGAGAAGTTAACAGCACATTCTAACTTTTGCGTGTTTTAATATCTCATCCTGGTGTGGCTTTTTAGTAAATCAACCGGATCAGCATAATAATAATAGATATGGTTCCTTTTCTCTGTAAACGTTTATTTGCAGAAAGAACTGAACTATTACTACTCCACCGAAAGGGAACGTTACGGCTGCCGAAATGGTCTTTGCATGGATGCTCCACGGAACGTGGAACTGAACTTAAGAGCAGCTAGCTTTCCCCAAAAACGAACAAACCCTACAATCCAAAGATGATGGATATTCAATCAAAGGATAACCTAGTAATTAACGAGCTGATTAACTTCAGGGTACCGCCATCAAATGCACACAGAAAATGGGATGGGCAGCTAGAGGTGCATCCAGCAATTATTTGTTCCAATTTTAGCAAGTACATATTTCAGCCCCGTGCATTCTTTAATTTAATCAAATGATAAATTTTGGACAGTTCATTGGCACTGGGACACATCTATTTAAAAGATCTCTATATGAATTTTTTTGGGTACGTAAGCAATTTAATACCTAATAATCATGCAAGGTTCCGTCACATCGATCTGTCACATTTTAGACATCTTATCACGTCTAAATCCAGCAGGCTGCATTAATCCAGCAGACAAAATCACTCGAAACATTTCGTTCCGAACAAGAAAAAGAATTAAACTAGGTAGTGGTTCATCTAGTGAGGCCGCTAACCAGTTTTTCTTTCAAATTTTAATATTTACGTGAAACTGGCAGTTTTAATTCGTTATATAGGTTGCTGCTGTGTTATTGTTGTATGAAGCTGATGAGAAGAATGCATTGACTGTATATATAACCAGCGGAACCGTTTGCAGTGGTCTTACAAAGCTTGCTGTGTTGTTACTTATTCGTTTGCAATGGTCGATCACTCGCAAGTATGTATTGCGTCGGTGTGGTCATCAATTCTCTTATTACACAATTAATAACGTGTTACCAAACCCTGATTATCATTAGTAAATTAATATCACCTGGCAGTCCGTTTTCAAAACAATAATATGATTGGTAAGCAGATCCACCAAAAATAGGAATGTGGTTGCAACTCGGCATTATTCTCAAATAAGTAATTCAGGTTGCCAAAATCGACTTCCAAAATCTGTTGTAGGTCCTGGAAGCACATAATGACCTGATCTTGGTATAATAGTGGGCTCTATATGTTTGACGTAGCTGTTTCTTGAACTATTTTAACACCCTGATGTCGGAGAAATATCAAATTTATGTTGGTGGGACATTATGACATATCACCCCCACCAGTATCAATGACAAAATATTCTACCAAATAACCAGTATTATTGGGAGGTGTATTAGGATGTAGCACAGATTGTTTCTTGTTCCACACACACACATGTCAAATGTGTACTTACATGTACACCTCCAACTAGGGCATAGAAAGACTCTGCACATGTAGGTTTCCCTTTAGGTAATATACAGTAGTCTAATATGGCTTATTTAGCCAATAAGTCCAAACTTTTAAGCAATGTGCAGTATCAGGCAGCTACTTCAGATTAATTTCAGATCTCTCTGTCCCACGTTATACTCTTCGTGATTGGCATCAAATGAATACTGGACCCAATTGACCAGCTCCATGAGTCCTCCTTAAATGAATGCTCTGAAACCATTAAATGCACGTTAATTCACTTAATTGTTCTGTGATCAAGTTGAATTTTCTTTCGAATTATGCTGATTTTAGTATCTTCTTTTTGAAGTGATCGGCTTTTACGATGGTGCCTACTTTTCGATTTTGCTTATAAAATTTTAGGGGTCAAGTTTTTACTAGATTCTCTTCTAATTTGTGTTTATTTAATAGCACTGGGTAAAAGATGTCATTGCTCACTAGAAATGTTGTTCTATAGAAGATATTAACCTTCTCGTCCCTAAACTTTCACTTGTAATTTAAATCTATCCTTTATGCTTTCATCTAATTAAATACATGAATCTTTGATAGTTTTAAAATTTACTCATCAAACTATTGACGGTTCATGTTATCGTTTGGAAAAAAAAAACTATTGACGGAGGGTTAATTAATTAGTTGATTTCTAATTGAAAAGAACATAGTAAAATTTTTGCATTTTTTGTCTTTAAGAATAGAAGTCTAATGAATTGGGAATAATTCGGTCAAGTTAGGTTTTATGTATTAAAATAAAATTGCAGCCGTATGCACTAAATTCGGAAAACAACAAAAGTCTAAGGATGAGTAGGGTAATATTCCCCTGCACCGACACAATCGTTGTTTTTTTTTGGGAGCACAAAATGGGACATGAACTGAGATAACAGTCATTATTGTCACGTGCACCTTCCAATAATGCAGATTTTGAAACCCATATCTGTTTCAGACTATATATATAAATATTTCTGACAAGTAAAAAAAAAATACTTTTATCCATTTTCCCGGGTGAAGAACCACCATCAATGATACGTACCCACTTACGTACGTAGTAATAGTGAGATTAAAAAATTGATTAGCAGTGTTTAACAGAGGTTGCTTCAAAGCAAGTGCAAATCTAGAAGATGATTTCTGTCCTTTTTTGCCTAATCATAAGCAAATGTTTTCTTAACATAACTATATCTTTCCATTTGCATGCATTCTCTCGTTTCATCTGTGCATCAATGATTATCTTTGAGCGGTGGCGGAATCAAACTTTAAAAAAAAAATTTTTGTCACTTGTCATCACCTACATCAAACTTTAATATTGAACCGTGAATGAAATTGGTTCACCCATCTGTCATGCAGTAACCAAAAAGTAGTTGCTTCAAAATCTCTCCGGGAATGGTTACAAATGAACATGTTTTAGCAAATCTTTTGCTCAAGTTTGATTGCACGTATTAATCTGACATGTGTCAAAAAATTTCCTCTTCTTATTGTTGCAATTCCAATAAAGGAATCTAAATGTCTTTCCATTTTTAGAGTTTTTGTAATGGTAGAATATATATTAAAAAAATGTTTAATTTCCTACTTTTATGAAATAAACATTCTAGTTCACTCACAATCACCTGATTTCGTAATCCAATAAACTCTTGTCATGTCATTCAATAATTTAGATTCTTAAAACCATCTAAGAGTACCGTAGAGCTCCCCGAATTTAAATAGCAGTACAGAAAATTAGTGTAAAAGGGTTTTCCTTATTAACAAAAAAGTCCTTTTTTCATACAAGGGTAATGCAAATTAAAGTGCCAGAGTTGATTCGCCAAAAAGACTAGCTAGCTAGCAGCATTTGTCCACTTACTTCTGTAAAGGGTGCATGGTTAATCCATGTCAAATTGTTAGTTTCAGTTTATTGTACCCATCTAGCTTATTGAAACAATGGCATTCTTAGGGAGCCTTAAACCAAACACTCTTCTTATGAGGGTCAGGTGAAAGGTAAATCCGATTATAATAAGAGAGCTAATTTACTTAGTCCAGGAACCAGTAAAATGTGCAGCTCAGTCAAAAAATCATTGATCTACAGTTTCACATCCTACATTATTAATTATTTGCAATTGATCTGGTATGGTAATCAGCCTCCAAAGCGACGGTGCCTTGAATCTTATTTTAAAAAAAAAATGAAGGATTTATTGACTTAAGTTTTGGACCTATTCTACTTTAATTAGTTTATGTTGCTTTGGTTTTAACACATTTAGTCCTTTATCTTTTATGTTCCTCCCATTTTAGTCTCTCGTGTTTTAATTTTGACACATTTAATTCATCATATGTTTCAATGATCTGTGTAACTTCAATATGCAATAAACTGTATATCCTCAACTGCCATTATGATAAGAGATTAAATCTGAGGTGGAAGTGATCCAAAAGAAGGGCAAATAATTTTCTTTTGAAATGCTTCAAAAAAGAAAAAAGAAAAATGATTCAAAATCAACAAAAAATAGCATGCTATAATATATCGTTTGTATGAATTACCCTAACTAAGGCCTACATATGTTGCCAGGAAGAAAGGTAAGAAAACAACAACAACAAAAAAAACTCCAAGAATCAGTAAAACCACGCATTGATGTACATTTTATTCAATAATAGGCGTTAGTATCCCTTAAATATGATTTGGCGCTCGATAGCGCCCATTGGATTACAAACCTGAGATAATCCGACAATGTGGCACTTGGTGACAGAGCGCTAGTTGATATCAAATTAGAATCAACTACAAATTAAATATAATAGCACTAGAAAACTATAATAACATGTGATGGCTAACCTAATTTTACTACTAATTAAAAACCCTAAAATGCTTTTTATGAGCAACTTTATTAATGGTACGGAGTTAGGTCCAAAATCTAGGGTTCAATGCTCCACGTCAAAATGCATACTATAACAACAAAAGTAGGATGAAACCAAAATTTTTTGTAAATTTCCTTCAAAACATAAGGGATTAAACTGAGACTACACTAAACATAATGGAGGAAAGGTAAAATGTTCCCTTTAAAAACTTGAGGAAGAAACCCAAGTCAAGTCGCCAATCATTTTCTCCCAGATCCTCAAAAACTTTGGACCAGTAATATTCATCTTCGGCTCTTTTTTCTCCATCTTTGGCCTAGAAAGATTTGATGTTTTAGCTAACAATCATGTTTTCAATGGAACACGATGAACTATTCCGCTTCCTCTCTATTCCTCCCCAGCAGCAGATCCCACAGGATACACCCTAATGGCTCGGGCGCCTAATGCAAACTCCTGTAAGCCAAAATCTTGCACGAAGAAAAGGAAGTCATCGGTTGCTTTTGGTGACAATAATGTTCTTGACAATGAGAGTCCAGTAGAGCACAAAAAGCGGATTATACACCGAGATGTTGAAAGACAAAGAAGACAAGAAATGGCTGCTCTTTATCAATCTCTCCGATCACTGGTCCCTGATGAGTATCTCCAGGTACTTCAATTTTTCTTCTGTTGAATTTATAACAACAAGAAAAGAAAAGAAACTTTCGATTCGCAGACGCTTAACTGGGCTATATTCGACTCTCGGTGTCTCATCACTGGAACTTTTTTGCATTGAAATATGCTGAAAACCATAATAAATTTATTGCCGCAAAATTTCTTGATACGTTTTAGGGAAAGAGATCGACATCTGATCACATGCATGGGACAGTTAAATATGTAAGACATATGAAAAGAAAGGTAGATGAGCTGATAAGTAAGAGAGACGAACTCCAAGAACTCATGAAACCTGGCTGCAGTTTCAGTATGTTAACAGAATTTACAGTTAGTCTCAACAAGACTAGTGTAAGAGTGCAAAGTAGCACTACAGGGATGCAGATAATTTTGAAGACTACTTTAAGAGGAGGGCTGCCTCTATCAAAATTTCTCAGCGTTCTTAATGGAGAAGGCTTATCAGTTATAAGTTGCGTTTCCACCAACGCCAATGAAGGACAACTTCATGTTATGGAATCCGAGGTACCGTAAGAAATATTATGATAATGTCCTCAGTTATTTATTTCGTGTAGAATGTATATTATTATTACTGTTTGGTTTACTTTAGATTCTGATAGCATAAATAGTCTATTTATATAGGAACTCGTATGACAGGTGGATCAGGGGAGGAGCTTTGATCAAACTAAGCTGCAGAAGAGATTGAAGGAATTGCTATACAACCTATAAGCCCGAACCTATTCTCATTCTTGAAATTCTGTTATTTCCAGTATATAAGGATTGAATAAATTGAACTTTCAATGTGTGCAGTTAAATCGAACGCAAATAGTTTGTGAGCCTTCTCATGTGCATCTTGTTACACAGCTGTTTAATTCTCCAACAGCAAGAAAGGCCTTCGTTTAAGGTCTCAAAGATCTGCTACCATGGAAGGATGTTCTTCTGATTCAAGTACATAAATAGTATAGTTTCTTGTGCTTGCCATCCAATTGAACTTCAAAATTGATTTGCTCTAGGTTGCTGGTTGTATGGACCGCATGATTTCAAAATTATTATCATTTCGAGTCTTTCATCAACAACTGATTGGCGTAGTTGGATGAATATACATTTTGCTGCATGTTCAGCCTGGCCTCCATAAATTATGCATTAAGTACCCACTTGTTTTTATGGTTCACAGAGATAGATGGGCTCCCTTCGATGTCAGCAGAGAGAACATTTAATGACCAACAAAATTGAAGTTTCAGTTAAACGAAGGAAACTTACTGAAATTCCAGTTGCAATAAGAATCGAATAGTTCAAATGGTACCTTTATATGTCTTAGAATTTTTCAAATTCAGACACAAATTTTTGTGTTGTGTTTCTGAAAATGGATTGCTTGGATCTTTTCTTTGTTCAATACCCAACTGGATTGCAGTTGATTGAATTTCATTGATGCCTGAACAGAATATTAGTAGCCTAAAACACATTCAGGAACAGATGATTAATAAATACATGATTTTATTCGATGCAAAGCAAAGCACGTAATAACTTTAGAGGACATAAGGACCAACTTCAAGGAATAATGAAACACAGCAAAATGGCGCTTGAACCAGTTGCAAACCGGACTCCCAAACGAGAACAAGTAGAAAAGGTTATTAATTAGCTTGGTGCAACTTGGATTAGCAGAAAAAGTAGGAGGGATCTCCATTCACGAACGTTTACCATCTTCACGAGGTTGATTGTCTTCAGGAGATTTATTGTCCTCAGTGGATTGATTTTTTTCAACAGCTTCCTCGGTTTTCCTGAACAGTTTATGGTCAATATGCTGCGCAAACGTTCGAGGCAGGTAGCGAGGGGGCTCAGTCTCTGAAACTGTCTCAGGCAGTGGTTTGAGGATGATCTTCTCCTTTGGTGGTTCACAGAAAACTGCCCAAGAGATTCTTACTTTGTCTTTGTTCACAAGGCTTCTATGAAGAATGCTCTTGTATTTTCCATTGCTTAGAATCTCAATGGTGTCCCCAATGTGCATGATAATGGAATTGGGGACACATTTGGCAGTAATCCACTTGTCCTCATAGAACAATTGCAGGCCAGGCACCATATTGTGAAGGATGAAAGTCAGAGAACTGACATCAGTGTGAGCTTCAACACCCAATGCTAGCTCCGGTTGAGGGCATTTGGGGTAGTAGTTAATCTTCATTTGCAGAATTAACTCTTCGATACCACCAACTTCCTTTTCTAGCCTGCCTTCTTCTAATCCCAAGCCAAGAGACAGCACAGCTAATAGCTTGGTTGCCAAGCCCTCAATTGCTTTGCATACTCACTCGCTGCAGGGCTGGAAGTGGCATAATTTGGAGACTTAATAAAGCTGATCAAGAGGGATAAAAATTGAACTTGAAAGCAGAAAGCAGAAATACTATGAGCTGATGACATTTTGTGCATAAGAGTTCTATTTCAGATGATATCTACATGAGAATATATGCTAATGTCTTCGAAGTCAAGGAAATCTGAAAGCACCAAATTAACGTCCATGGATTTAAATTGTGTTTTAGCTTGAGATTGATTAAATCTTTCCTTGTAAATTTTGAGGCATGTTAAGAAGTACTGACATATAGTCTTCTGGAGTCTTGGGCCAAATCGACAAATCCCGCTTGTCCTCGGGGAAAACACAATGGAAAAAGTAGTCCTCCCATTCAAGCTGACCACTGGCAGTGTTTGCTAGTTTGCTGCCGTATCCTTGCAGTTTGCCTGATGCCTGATCATTGGCATACTTCTCCTTTTCCTCAAAGGGTGAATTGAAGAAGGCCTCTCCAGCAACCTTGACTCGATTAATGAGCTCATTTGATATGCCATGGTTGACAAGGTGCATCACTCCCCACTCCATGGCAGCCTTCTTCAACTCGTTGTGACATCTCTCACGAACAGCTTCGTCCTCTGCTTCAATGTCCCCCAAATCAATGGTTGGCACCTGAGGCCCTTCGTTGTTTTTCTCTTCCTCAAAGACGTTACCCATGTTCGTCAGCTCTTGCCTCACATACTCTTTTGGTATTAATTGAATCCCACTGTTGGCCAACCTCTCAACTCTTGAAGTCACCGCAGCAGTGGTCATTTTTCCTGTATGTTACTCTACCCGATTACCTACTTTTGATATCGCTTTTTCTATTTAACAGGGTATATCTAAGCCTGCCGAACCAATTTTAACACTGCCCAAAATTCTTGACTAGGGGCTATATATAAGCTATGCCTCTGCTAAATTTATCTGCAAGTTTCTTGATTTTCCATGTGTTGGCGTACTTTGTACGTTATTCCTGATGGAGTTGAGTACTAATGTACTTAGAAGTCATCCTAGATACGACCAAATGGTAGCTAAGGTTAATTGACTGGCTGGTGACGGCACGAGGGGCGTCTGACCATGACCATCCTTCAAACACAGGCAGTCAGCCAGCCAACTAAGTTGGCAAATTCTTGCAGATGTATGGTACTAACAGAAGAAAATTACGCACCCCCCTTGCAGTAACCTTGGGATTGATAGATGGCTCTAAATAATAATAAATAATATACCAGAAGATGCAGCAGAGCAAAGCACCAACTACCATTCACGTGTTAGCTAACTAAATTTGAGGTTTGCATCAGGGGCTTAAGACATCCAACAACCAAGCCGGCCCACCTACGCTTGCAACTTGGCAGGTTCTCCTGCTAAACAAATCAACTTCTAATCTTTGTTTTTATTAGTCTTGCAAGTACTATTACTGTTTTTGGATTGAGTGGGTAATCAATGCGCTATTTGCAAAATTGGTGCTGTCAATTTTAGGTAAAACGACTTGCAAGTTTATTTTGGCCAAGATCGATCCCACTCTCTTCTTCTCAAATCATTTTGGTTAAATTGGCAAAGCGTTAGATAAGTGACAGTAAAGTTTCCGATTTTACTCCCAAACCATATCCTTTTCCTTTTCCCATTTTGAGACTTGAATCTCTCTCAAATCATAAATAAATAAGGATTTTTCTAATGAGTGTCCAAATAGCACTTTTTAACACACCTAAAATATATCTAACCTACCGAATATATACAAATGCTAACAATTATTATTATCTCTTACATTTATATATTTTTCTGTTTAATATTATATGCTCTTTTTTGTATTTATTTATTTTCCTTAATTAATCTTATATTTCTAAAAATATGATATCAAAATATATTTTAACGATTGTCCAATAGTCACCCGTTAGATAAACCCAATAAATAAATAGAATATCCTGATTGCTTCAATTCCACTCGTTTAAGCTTGAGCAAACTCAAGCCCAATTGAGTTCGGACTCAAACTCGATGTATTGAGCTCGATTAGAAAAGGAGGTATTTTGGAAATTTACAAGAACTTAATACCTATATATGTAATTTAACATACACTATATATATATATATATATATATATATATATATATATTATATATAATATGTACTGCTCAATAAGACTCAACGAACTATCGACTTTAATTAAAAATGATCGATACTCGACTCATTTGGTTAAACGAGCCACTCGAGATTGACTCGAACTCGGTCAACGCTAAGTCGAGTAAATCGTTTGATCGATCAGTTCATGAGCAACTCGCGAGCTGCTCGGTTGGTTTACACCTGTAACCACTAGTAGGTTTCTAAAAACTTCCATTCATTAACGAGTGGAGCTCTACCGAGTTTCCTAGAAAAAGGATTCCATAATTATCGTAGCAATTAAAAATTGACCATTTCACTTTCACTTGATCCATGCATCATGCATAGAAATGGGACATTATGAGACTTGGGTAGGACCAAGCTAAATCAAACCAACACTACACTTGCCCGATGAGCCGCATCCGTGAGGCCCAGATATGTAACGCCACTGGGGTTGCTGCCGTTTATCTTATCTAGGGGAGCTAATAGAGATGTTTAGGTCGGGTTTTGAAAAGTTCAAATTCAGCTCACAAAATAAAGCATAGCTTTTGGACTTTCGAACTTAAACGTTGGGCTCCATTTACAATGTTCACACTTAGCTGACAAAAATGTTGGAGCTTCGAGTCTAATTTTGATGTGGTCCAAACTCAACACACACACACACACACACATTCTAGGTCAAATAAATATATAGGTAAAATATAATATATATATATATATATGCATAAAAAAGTATATGAACACGTAAAAATTAAGAATTAATTTTCTATACACTAACAATATATACATTTTCACTATTAGATACATAATTCAAATTTGAATTTGAAACTCAAATTTTGTATATGTGTTGTATATCCAACTGTGATAGTGAATACACCATCAATGTATCTAAGATTTCCTCAAAAATTAATTGAAATTTGCATCAAAAGTTATTATTATATTAGTATTTAAATTTATTATATTAGTATCTACATTTATTTAGTTAAAAGTTAAAACACACGCTGTTATATATAGTTGAAGTACTCTTGACAATCGTGAAATCGCTACATTCGCCACGGTGGCACCTAGATTCATAAGCATTGTACGGTATAATTTACCATACATCTACGTTCACAAATGGCTTGAACTTGCAGACTAAAAAAACAAAAAGACATAGCATGAACATGACCAATTCCTTGGATGCTTAGTTTTGCTCATGCAATTGAACATGCAAGCAGCGTCCTTCCACAAAAAAAAAAAAAAAAAAACATATAAGCGGCGTAACTAATGTAACTTTTTGTGGAAATTAGCTTGTCATTGTATGAGCAAGTAGAGTTATCAAGAAATGGTTTATAGCGAATTTGCTTCTTTCGATAACGTGTCAGCAATTTTGAGATTCTAAGGGAAAACTGGGTGCTGAATGCTGATTTGGCAATCAGACACAGTACTACAGTACAGGAACAAAAATCAGTCTTGATTTTCTTGAAAATCAGGCCAAAGTGTCTGTACAAATTCCCTCCACAAATCTTCATCTGCCTTATCCTCAGTAGTGTCCCATTTCTCAACCAAAACCATCAAATCCTCCAGCATGCAAACATCTGTAAAATCTTGGCCTCCTTTGCTTCAGCGCTGCTGCCACTCCCGCCACCATCACAAATGGCCACCAAACTTGCCTTTACTATAACAATTCCTCGTTTTTACTCTGCCCCTTTCAGAAAACCATTTAGCTGTGTCCCCTCTTCACCTTCTTCTCCTTTTCTGCACTCTTGTTCATCCTCTGCTTCAAGGTATCAACAGCCCTTTAATTTAAATGGGGAAGAAGGCAGCTGGTTCTGTCTCCAAAGACCACTACTGATCAGCCAGGTTTGGTTGGCCTGCCTGCATTCATTTACTCATGATCTTATTCTTGTTGTTGTTGCATGACTGGCTTCGGTTGGATTAATAAAGATAAAGTACTTGATCAATTTGCTAGATTTTAATTGCTTTTCTTTCGCACTCCATGATTGGCACAAGAGAGGTTTGTTTGGCGTTTCTTTTATGTAGAACGAATGAAGTACTATGAAAGATCATCCTTTGGGCCTATTCTTGGATTCCATTCGGGAATTTGCACCTAGTGGCATCAATTATCTAAGCATGTTTCCTGATACTGGGAGAGCATATGCATGGACTGAATCATGCATAGTTTCTGTACAGGTTTTACGGCTTGCTACACTTCAACTAAATAACTTTACTGTCCTTGGTTATTACTTTATTTCACAACCTGCTCAATTGGAGATTTTTGCTGATACAAAAATGAGATGCTCAAATTTCATGATCAGTTCCATAATTTTCTACCGAGTGCAACTTTGTTCTTCCCCATTTTAAATCAGATGCCTTTACAAAACCAAGGTTCTGGTCTAAGGAAATACTTATCTTTCTCCTTTCCTGAATAAGATTATTTGCTATATCAACCTTCAATCTCTATGTACAACGTCCATCGAGATGTCTCCATTCTGAACATACCTTTTGCTTGTTTCGCCATATATTTTGCCCATTACCAAGTATTGAGTTAGTTTAACCTGGAGAGATGATAAAATCATTCCAAGGAACAAGAGTTATTGAGATATGCATTACATTAGTTCCATTGCCATGGTTTGGCGCTCCATCTCTATCATATCATGTGTGAATAATTTGTGCTGAAATGCCTTCTTGCCTCTGCTAACTTGTGCTCTTGGTGCATCTATTGGAGTTCTATGTTCTTCACTTTACATCCTAAAAAGGACCCTAAAGATCTGTACCACTTTAATTTTCCTTGGAATTGACTTCAGGTCCCGTCCAAGAGGATGAAGTAGTTGATGGTAAGATCCTGCAGTATTGTAGCATAGATAAGAAAGAAAAGAAGTCCCTGGGGGAGATGGAGCAAGATTTTTTGCAAGCACTACAAGTATGTCAGAGAAAATTCTCTCTCCCTCTCTCTCCTATTTCTTTTTCCTTTCTTTGACATGTAGATATGGGTAGTACTTTAATCCTTCAGAATTGCTTAACAGGTCACACATCCATTTGTAAGAGAAAATCCTCTCTCCTCTCTCCCTCTCTCTTCTATTTCTTTTTCCTTTCTTTGACATGTACATGTGGATATTACTTTAATCGTCCAGAATTGCTCATTAGGCACATCCATTTGTATTTGCAACTTGAAGATAACTAAGTTTTCATAGTTTCCAGTGCTGACATTTTAGGTCCATTTTGTTTCTTTTCTTTGCACTACAGGCATTCTATTATGAGGGGAAAGCCATAATGTCAAATGAGGAATTTGATAACCTCAAGGAAGAACTAATGTGGGAAGGAAGCAGTGTTGTCATGCTAAGTATGCATTCATTCAATATTTTGGATCTGATCGAATAGCTTTTTAGAATGTTGACTTTGTTATCACTTTGGAATCTGTAAGCTGTAGGTTCTGTTTATATAGTCTTTTATTCTAATGTAGGTTCTGATGAGCAAAGGTTTTTGGAAGCTTCGATGGCTTATGTATCTGGGATCCAATAATGTCAGACAAAGAGTATGATAAGCTGAAGATGAAACTTAAGGTGTGTAGCCGTCTATATGGTATGCAGAATCATGTATTACTGTGATGACTTAGATAAAATAATAATAATAAAAGTTTACTTCCATTTGGAGTTCAAAAAGAGCTGTGGACCTTTTAGTGTAGCATGTTATGAGCATTTCAAGCCCAATTTTATTCTTCCGACAAGGTAATAATGATATAGGGTTTTCTGTTGACATCGATGTCAGATTACATAGATAATTTTCAGTGGAGCCATCTCAACATGTTGGAATATGAGAAATTGTGAAATATGCCTGTCCTCTAACATTAGCTGCATGAATATTGTTTCTGGTGTTGTTCTTTATTCTTCTTTCAACAGCTTTATCATGTGAAATTGTTCTTCTGTAGATCGATGGGAGTGAGATTGTGGTTGAGGGTCCACGATGCAGCCTTCGCAGTCGAAAGGTCTGTACTTCAGTTCTATATCCTATACTACCAATTCCTTGGCTTTTCCATCTGTTGTGTCCTCAAATACACACACTGAGAGTTTTCTTTTGTGTCTTGTGCCATATATTTGTTGCTTAACTTGTTCCATAGATGAAAACTTTTCAAAATATTAGTAAAAACGAGTGTATATTTAAGTGGGACTAATTTACTCTTGTCTGTATGGACTTTTTGCTCTAGTGCACAAACAGTTCTGAATATCTTTGGTGAAAAGGAGAATTGTCTTATGAGTTTTCTCTCTCTTGAGTGGCAATAGTGGATATGCATGATACATGTTCTAAGCTTTTAAGAGCATCGCAAGACAGGTTTAACTGCTGGCTTGATGGAGTATAGATGCTAGGGAAGTCAAATGTTTGGTGGTTTATATTTTGTGTTTTGATAATTGATATACAGAATTAAATGTATGGATATGTAGTTCAAGCGGAAAATGATACTAGTTGTCTGTTAATTGAGTATATTGTTTACTTGGAATCAGTTCACATACAAAGTGAGAAAACACAAAACTTATTATTACAATAGCAAAGAAGAATTATTAACATGATTGCTGAAGTGGATAATTTGACACAGTGAAAAGAGGTAAATTCACATAGTTACTTCTAGCCTCATTCCAGCTTTCCTTTTCTAGTGAAGGTAAGCTTGATGATATCTGGTTATGTTAGTTTCAAAATTTGGATTCTGAAGGCATGCTTTCTGTCTGTGTTCTATCACTTCTTGTCCCCTGCTGGTAGATAAACGTGTTTCTTACTGATAATGTTCTTTCACTCAGGTTTACAGTGATCTTTCTGTTGATTATCTCAAGATGTTCCTTTTGAATGTACCTGCGGCTGTTGTTGCACTGGCACTGTGAGTGAGACTTTTATCTCATTAGTGCACATATTCACAATCTCATAGAGAGAAATTATATGGGTATTTAAGCTACTTTGATTTTTTGCTGCTGATCATCATATTTTGATCACTGCCTAATTTCTGTGTGTAAATTTATAAACACACTTCCAAGTATTGGTAGTTTAGCTTGAGGTGAGGTTTCATGTAGTATTTAATTTCTGGTTCTTTTGTAGCAACTGCAAACGTGCTGATAATTGTTATTTTCATCTGTGTCATCTTAGGTTCTTCTTCCTTGATGATTTGACTGGATTTGAAATAACTTACCTTTTGGAGGTAAGAAATGTGCATTTTGTGTTTTGCTTTAGTGGTGTGGAAGAAAATCAATTTTCCAATGTAATTGGCCAATGACATCATGATAGTCTTAATCTATCTAATTTCCCAAGTTATCATATATTGCTCAAAGGAAACAAATTGTGAATATGCAGGCAAACAATTGCATCATTAAATTCTTTCCCTTCAGATTACCATATCACTGATATGCAGCATAACAAGTGTCTTATCATGAAAGATCTAGTGTATGAACGCAATTTTTGACACTATCATTTCATTAGCTTGCATTCATTTTTAACTGTAGAGAAATGCTGATAAAGGGAGACCCAAAAAAAAAAAAAAGGATGGTTGGACGGGAAATAATGACGGGTTTGATAACAAAATAATATTGGTAGATGTCATAATCGGACCTACTTGAACCATCCTTAAATATCCTGTACATGACGTATCAGTAATCATCACTTTTGGGGTGATGCCTCAACAACATATTTACTTGCGAAGGCATGCTTATCTGAATGTTTGCATAGGTATCGCTGAGGGTTCTTTAGGGATATTGTGAATTATCTTTCTGTCCAAATAAAACAAAAAATAAGACGAAAAAGGAATTAGCGGTCTATCTCAATTTTATACCTGGAGGAATTCTGCCGTCGGAAGGAGAAGATCCAGAGTAAAGAAAGTTGAAAATGCATAAGTTAATGTTCCAAAAGTAGATATTGCCACCTGCTATGATGATCCATATCTTGTTGAAATATGAGAAATAAGGGAAGATAAATTTCTTTACTTGAACTCACTTTGAAGTTTAACTCCACAAGCTTCCTAGAACGGTCTCTATGAGAAAAAAACCAAATATTGCAAGAAAAATTGTAAAGAGGAAGGTAAGTTAATCAGGAAATCTGAAGGTGTGATGTGAAGAATAAAATCCAATGGAAGGTGTCCTATTGACTTTGCTGTTGTTTGTCATTTGACCATAGATGGCACATTATTGAGAATGCTTATTAGTATCCTAGATTGCAAAAAAGAACCAAGAAGAGAATATCATGACTGAAAGCAGATAGTCTATGTGAGCAAAAGGTCCCGATGTGCAACTAGCTCTTGTCTAACATGCTTTTGTTACCAATACCTGCAAACATACTTACAGTATGCCTGCTACTATCAGCTTCATGTCTAGTTTGTCTTTAAGCTGCAATTCCATGTTTTTTCCTCCTTTCTATGACCTGTTGTCAATATTTGTTTCTTTAGCATCACTTCGGGCATTTAATTACTTCCATATCAATGCGTAAGCATTGACAAGCCACAAAAATGTCCACATTTTACATGATTTAAACTATCTCTCTCTCTCTCTCAAACACAGACACACGCACACAAGCACACTCAAAAGTACACGAGAACATATGGGCTCACTTACACAACCAAAGGCACTTACTACATATTTTGGCCTGTTGAAGTTCAGAGATGAGGTGATTGTGGATGCGTGTGACCTACACACACATGCACACACACAGAGATATCAGCATGCTTCCTTCATTGAATCATCTTCCAGAAACCTTAACGAGCAATTAACTTATTGATCTATTATATTGCAGCTTCCAGAACCCTTCAGTTTTATTTTCACGTGGTTTGCTGCTATACCTGTTATATTATGGTTATCGTCTTCACTTACAAAGGTCATCGTGAAGGATTTTTTGATCCTAAAGGTCAGAGCTTGGTGTGTACCATTGTTATAAGAACAATTATACCATAATTGTTATGTATCTGCAATCAGCTAATTATTTTGTTTTTTCAGGGCCAATGCCCCAACTGTGGCACCGAGAATACTTCCTTTTTTGGAACCATACTTTCTATATCCAGTGGTGGATCTAACAACACTGTAACATGCTCAAAGTAAGTTACCAAATTTTGATATTAACCTTTGAATTGAATAACTAATTTCTTGAACTTATGCTGATTGGACACAAAATTTTCCTTAGTTGTGAGACAGTGATGATATACGATTCAGAAACAAGTTGATTACATTGCCTGAAGCCTGAGAGGTAGTTAAGCAATGATTCGAGGTAAAAATTCTCTACACTACAATTCTGACTCAGAGATAAAAGTCAACAATAATATGAAAGAGTGACTCCTCATTGTATCTTTGTTTTTAACTACATGCAATTCAACGTGATGGTGATAGGCAGTGGGTTGCAATAGTGCAAATTAAGAAAGAGATTGCGAATAGAATAAAATATGATCAACTTTGAATGTCATTGGCCTTCCTAGTATTACACTAGATCTTGATTGATTAAGTAACTTTATCGACATCAAAGTTTATCAAGCTTTACCCGATTTGAAGGATGCATTTTTGTCTTCTGCAGTTGGCAATGTCTAATAGTAGAATGATAGATTTCTTGAAGTTACACACAGAAAGAGGCACGTAATTGTGCTAGTAAGCATGTATAAGTTTTATTGCAACAACTGGAGGGATTGTCCCCATTGTATTCATTTATTTCCGTTCCCTTCAGTTCTTTCTTTCTGGATGTCAATTCATTCGAGGATACTCAGTGTGCTCATACTGTACTCTGACATTACTTGGAAGATTGAATGCATTTTCTTGGCTCTGTGCAAGTCATACCCGAGGCAACCACAGACGCTCCTGAAACTTGCATTGATAGAATGATCTTGTAATTTGCAGTGTTTCATTGAGATGGTTGTTGTTCCAAGTGATGAAACTTGATTTGTTAAGTGGCCTTAGCAATTTCCACTGAAACTTGATTTGTTGTTTCAAAAATAGTATAGACAGATAAATAAAAATCAGCTTCAACTTTGGTGATGCAGGATGAACTGTTTTTGCACCAGAAATATGCAGCAAGTCCATCACTAACATGAGTTGCCAAAGAGGAAGACTATATCCAGGATGAATCTGTGGAAGTGGAAAAGGATTCCAATATTCAAATTGCTGGCTGCTTTATAATTGCTGCTATAGCAGCAGCAATGTGTAATTGAATCTTCTAGTACCATGTTGCATGGAACATGCTTTGTAAAGGGGAGAGCAACATGAATTCTCGCAACAAAGTTGTAACAGAAAAACCTGGTTATGTGTAAATCATTATCTTTCTTATTTTGGATTTACAAATTCAGGTATTTGTGTCTGTATTTTTTGCATCTGGCCTATCTTATAATGGAGTAAATTTAACGGTCCATACTTTTTTACTCGTCATACATACTTAGAATCTATGCATGGTTAAACGGATAAATCTAGACGCGAGAAATTTATTAAAACAATTTGTTTGTTTTGTAAATACATAAACTTATGGCTTATTACTCAGAACGCTAATTATCCATCAGTTCTAAGCTGTGCCTATTTGACGTAACATTCCATGCTATTCACAATTTTCTCCATACATCATTATTATTATTAGGAATGGTCTGGTGGTAGACTTATTGCCAACCTACAATCTCATATGCTATCGTTAATGGCGTATTTTATCATTAAAACATAGATAAAGTAAAAACATATACTTGGAAATGTTAGTGGCTAAGATTAACTTAAAGATTCTAAGTTTAAATATCCCTTTCCCCTTCCCACTTTTTAGATCTCACTTTGCCCTATTAGAAAAAAAAAATTAGGAAAAAGTTTATATTCTCGAGATATTTAATTTAGTTATGTTCTATAGATGTTGGTTTCAGATGAGCAATAAGATCCTCAAATTATTAGTAGCTTTTGCTAATGGAGCCATTTTTCAAGTCTTGTCACTCACCATATATAACTCCATAAATAACCACAATTGGAAGTCCACAGCAAAGCAATGACATGCCTACTTCAATCGTCCTTCATGCCAAAGTCACAAATTCTTAGACAGTTAATTTTTGGGGGATTCAGTCTACACAAGCCACTGTTTCGAGGGCCGAATTCACATAAATCCCTATTTTTAGTGTTCATTCTTGAACTGAACTTTTGTGTCCAATGAGCTTACATTAAATGTGTCCCTAATTTTCCTTGGATGTAGTCTGCAATCATTAGCAAAACAACTATTGTGTTGATCAACACAAACCAAGACATTAATATATTAGTAGTTCTTCCTCAACGTAACCAAAAAAAAAAAAAAAGGGTATGGCAGAAAGCACAGATATAACCTGCCTCCACGTTCCCAAATATTTCGTACACTTAAGACATGCAAAGATATATTAATATTCATGTAGAATAGCTACCAAATTGAACCTTTCAATCATTTAAACACAAATGATCAGTTGACTTGAGAGACAAAATGTTCGTGAGGATCACGAAGCCACTCTTTTTCATTCCAAGGCACAAATTATATAAGGGATACGTTTAGAAGTCAATTTGGCATCCAATTTATGTCAAAGCTCCTCTGAAAGAGCAAATTGAGGAAAAGAAGAAAAAAAAAAAGTTTGAAGAAATATGGCCCCTTTTCTTCAATCTCTGAGCTCTATCCTTTTCTTGATGGCATTGATCAAATTGTCAATCATGAGCAGAATATCAGCTGCTGGTTACAGTCCAGCAGTATTCCGGCCTTCCCCATGGCAACTTGCTCATGCCACATTTTATGGAGATGATTCTGGCTCTGGAACAATGGGTGCGCTACTTTAATTTCTCAAGTTTGTGACAATATCTAGTGTGCAACAATTTTCTACTTTTTTTTTTCTTTTGGATATTTACCACTGTTCAAGAATCCATTCAAAATTTGCATGCTTATTATCATTTGGCAAGAGTGATGTTAATTTACGCCACAAATGGTACAAATCAGAGTTATGTCAAACATTTTTAACATGAAATCTTTATATGAAAAAAAAAAAAAAACTTTTTTCGAAGTAACAGAAGCACTATCCTATTTATATATACATGCGAGATTTCTTGGCCTCTTTCTGCTTCTTTTATCCTTGAAATTTGTTTTTAATTGAAGGGGGCAAAATGCTATTAGCCAAAGCTCTATGTTTATACTAAAACTGTGAATCATTGAACCGGCAGGTGGGGCTTGTGGATATGGAAATCTGCTCAGCAATGGTTATGGAACAGATACAGCAGCCCTGAGCTCAGTACTATTTAACAATGGATATGCATGCGGCCAATGTTTCCAAATACGCTGCGTTCAATCACCATTTTGCTTTAAAGGGTCCCCAATTACCACCGTGACTGCCACAAATCTTTGCCCCCCTAACTGGTCCCTAGACTCCAACAATGGAGGCTGGTGCAACCCGCCTCGCACCCACTTTGACATGTCCAAGCCTGCATTTATGAAAATTGCCCAATGGAAGGCCGGAATAGTACCCGTCATGTACCGCAGGTAAAAGCTTTATGACCGCGTTACAATGCTAATTGCCGCATGTAGTATTATAGTATTATATATGATGCCATGCTTGCTTCTTGCAGAGTACCATGTGCGGGAAAGGCGGACTTCGATTCAATTTCCAAGGAAATGGCTACTGGTTGTTGGTGTATGTGATGAACGTCGGGGAGGTGGCGACATCGCCAGCTTGTCGGTGAAGGGAAGCAAAACAGGGTGGATAAGCATGAGCCATAACTGGGGAGCTTCGTACCAGGCTTTCGCAACTCTATCACGACAGGCTCTTTCTTTCAGAGTAACTTCGTACACTTCCAAGCAGACTGTCTTAGCATACGATGTTGCTCCTTCAAATTGGAACGTAGGAATGACTTATGAGGCCAATGTCAACTTCCACTGATATACAAGAAAGACCTAGCTAACATATCCTTAAAACTTTGTATGTCGCCTGCAGCATCATCATCGTGTTCGATTCCTTTACCCTTTCTTGCCTCATTTTTTTTTTCCTTCCTTCCTCTAAAGTTTCCTTACCTTGTAAAAGGTCTCTTGCTGCGAAAATTTTTGTGAACATTAAATACCAATATCGTATGATGTGCGCCAGTGCAAACAAAAGTGAAATCTTTATTTTACCCTGGCTCTGTTGCATTGCATATTGTAGAGCTTTAGGATTTTTTTTTTTTTAAGTTCTTTGCTGATTTCAATGTTGACATCCATTCAATCATCGTACTCTTAGTTCACCAGAAAAGCTGAGGGAAATGGATCAGTTTTACAATCTGCACACATCCAATGGATGGCATTAAAATTTAATGAAGGGTTCTGTTGTAAGCCAAATAAAAATTGAAGGAACAGGGACCCTTACAATGTGAGGGACAAGTTGAAATTCTAGATTGGTGCTCTACGTCTAATTTCACTAACTAACCGTAAAGTGCTTTAAGAAAAGACATCATTCGTGGTTAGTCAGATGAATTATCTCTTTATACCCTATAGTTCTTCATCTTTTCTTTTTCGCCCACATTTTTCCTTGTCTCTTGAAACAAGAATGTCGATCAACTATTTGGACCTTTCAACAGAACGCATTACATAGACAACAGATCCATGGATTAGGTACCACATTTCAATGCAATTGAAAGTTTTTTACAATCTTTTTTGGTGACAGTAAACTGTTCGTAGAAAGACTGCTGCAAATCTACAACATGCCTATTGCGCAATCTGCATGAAAAAAGTTGTGCCGTTTAAGAGCAAAGAAGAGTCTTTTTAAGTTCTGAATGCTGATGCATGCTAGCTAATAATAGAACCCACAGGTAGTTGGAGTGGGAACATGTTATCGAAAACAATTAGCATTTTGAGCCCCATCCATCAGGAAGACTTGCCTTCATTCCATTCCTTAAGCACGCCAACCTTCCTTTTTATTACCTTTAGACTTGAAAAGTCATCATCACGCCATGCTCCAAATCATTCCCCCCAACCTTTGCCACCTGACTCTAGACCCCCTTTACCGCATACATTTACATTAAAAGGCAAGCATACCTAAAAGACATACACATAAATTTGATGCACTTAGTTAACTTGAAGCACTAGCTAATTTTTTCTTATCCTCTTTACGTAGACTAAATGGATAAACATGTCCAGAATGTAATCCAACTTGATTGGTTACAAACCTTTCCTTTTACTTCTTCCGGAAATAGAAACATGAAATTACAGTTGGTCAACCACTTGACTTGCCAGGAATTCAAAATTTCCATCAGCTCATGTCAGGCAAAGTCCTGTTTCATTCAGATCTTCCAAACCCCTTTATCACAGTAGGATGTTCTTCAAAATAAATAGTCTTTTTTTTTCTTTTTTCCCTCAGCAATCGGTAATAGAAGAGGATATAATACGTTTTCTTCTTTCAACTTTCGACTTTCACCTTTCACCTTTCACGCAGAAAACAACTTCTATATTAAAAGCTTTCCCCAGCAATCCCAGTGCACTCTTTGCAATCCCAAAAATCTTTAATCAGTCAACAGGGGCACTAAACCTGTTTAACAGACAGGTTCCACACAAATTAAAAACTTTCTTTCCATGTTCCGCCCTGCAGAAGAACCTGAAAAATCATACTGCAGTGATAAGGAACTTCCTTGATCCTTCTGGTTAAATCTGCCACTTCTTCAAATGGGCTCTTTTCATACCGTCACTTTGATAGTATTTCTTTCACTAGCATCTTCAACAGGATTGCAGATTGAGGCCGCAGGGAATAAAATCAGCTCGTCTTCTTGATCTTGTGATCAGAGATTACACTTTCCAATCTTATGATAGATTCTTCGGCACAGGCAAACTACACGCTGTAAGTTTGCCAGCAAATCTCTCTGGAATCAAGGTTGACACAGTGAGATTCCGCTGTGGCAGTCTTCGAAGGTATGGTGCAAAAGTTAGCGAATTTCATCTGGGGACAGGTTGTAACTGTGAATCCATGTGTAGAGAGGGTATTGATAGTCGCTCAAAATCTTGGATCCAACTGGTCATCCATATATTATGATAACTATGAACTATCAGGATATCAGCTGATTTCACCAGTTCTAGGCCTACTAGCTTACAATGCTGGAGACAACATAAATTTCAGCAGCCCATTTGAGCTCGGCATTCAAGCAGGCAAAGACCTATTAAGATAGACTTTCGGAACACTACAAAGT